GGAAGGTAAACGGAAAAACTCCGATCAGTCAACGCGAACGTAAGCGTAAGTACGTCAAGTGCACGTTTCTGTCCAGCCAAAAACAGCAGCGAGGGGAGAGAGATAACAATGTAACAAAATCCAAGAGCGAGAAACATGAAAGGGAAATGGGGAAATTCCTACCACTTAAGTAGTCAGTTTGCACTGTTTAAAAGCCGACATCCTGTCCTGACTGAAATATTCAGGGATTATGATGCGTGATAATTACTAGTACAGCCCAACTTAAGTAATGTTTTCGGACTAAAACCACATTTCGGAATTTCGGTTGAGATTTCATGAGATAGCACATCGATAGCACTTCTCTATAGAAGACTTACACGGGCTTCGGGATGGGTGCGTTCGGCCGAAGTTAACGTATGGCTTGAAAGATCTTCTCAGCGCACAGAAGTAAGAACTTGTCACGTATAAATGCCACACAGGAATGCCCACAAAACGGGTCTACACATATTGCTTTATAAATGCAACATAAAGAAAATAGCAGGAGCCCTTGCAGCATCTACATACACGCATCTGAAAGGCAATGATATTGGGTAAGGTTTAAAGTGACCAACAACGGTCGACAACGTCGAAATAAGGGGTTGAAAAGTGAAAATTACCCAAACGTCAGCTTTGGTGCCGATATAGGGCTCGCCCTTAAAAATTTCGGGTGCCGCATACGGTGGACTTCCACACCATGTCGTCAAGAGAGAGTTCCCTCCCTCTGGCTGAAAGGTCCCAAATCCAAAGTCTACAAAGAAGAAAGTTAAGCGTAAAGCACGGAAAGCAAGCACAGGGCACAGGCAGGAGTTAAACTTCAAAGAAAATCTAGAAACAACAAACTCGCCTGTCGTTGTAAGTTGGCAAGGTTTTCGGCGAACAAACACGTGAAATGGCAAGGGTTCTAAGGACCTCGTTTCCCGGGTCTATCAGGTGGCTTTGTCAAAAGCACATTTTATGTGTGGAAAAGTTGTGGGTTTCAGGCATGAAGTCAGCAGTCAATCAGTTGGAACGGCACATTTGTTTGTATACAATGAATGTTAGACCCATCCTGTGTTGGGGCCATTGCTCCTTCCAGACGGAGTGAAGCAAGGCGTTCTCTTTGTTGCACACGGTGAGAGGCCAGATGGTGAGACAGAGAAGTACATGGTCACATGTGCACATCATCTACGGCAACCGTTTTCAGTTATGCAGAATACCACCAACCCGCAAGCCTCCATCACATTCCTGAAGACAAATAGTGGACTGAAAATGGGAGTAATCGTTTGGTAGGACGGTGGCACCTGCGCTTTACCTCACTTTGCAAGCCTCAATGTTTTTTTTTGGTTTCCATTATGCCCGCTCTTATAGTTATCAGGTCGTCGCAACGTGGTCTTAGGTTAGACCTCATGGATACGATAAATTGTTTTAGATAACGAAGGCTTGTAAGTTCAAGATGGTAGTGGTGGTGGTTTGAGTTTCAAAAGCATCAACATCAACAACAAAGAGCAGTCTGACTCGGCTTATGGTCAGTTACATGCGCACACGTTCAGCTGACCCAATCCACCTCCTTATCACCTAGGGTGCCAACATCGATCTGGCCGACTTTCGCGGAAACACGGCGGCCTATCACATAATGAGGACTAGCAACATGGCCACAGTTTTTCAACGCAAAGAACTGAATGGAACAACGATGCTCATGCTCCCTACCAGGTGACGGACTTTAAAGTTCTGCTGAAAGATTCTGGGTACATAAGAAACCCAAAAAATGCATGCAGTTTTAATGATCAGGGTAATGAATGCCTGTACGACCCCCTAATCGACAAAAAATGCTTGTACGCCACCCTCCCCTTAATGAGCACAGTCGATAAGTAGGCGTGTAATACGGGAACGGTGGTGATTAGGTTAGGACAGCTGTAAATGGTGGTAACGCGTTGACAATAAAAAGAGATTTGTATACTCACCATCCTTGTTCAAGTTAGCTGGTTTTTAGTACCGAATTAGACCTACTACACATCTACTTATCCACACCTACCTGCATGTCAACCTAATTCTAGAGCTAATCCTAACCTTCACCCTGTCCAGCATGCTCGTAAGGGTAGGGTTCGTTGCCGGGCTAGGGGCATCGCAGAAGCGTTCGTTGTCTAGATCAGTTTTGAATAAGTTTTCAACTAGAAAAGAAATGGCAAATTGGAGTGTCGGCAGAAGAATGCATATCTAACTGA